TAGAATGTTGAATACTTAAAGTAGGAATTTGTGTAATTTCCACTTTTAGAAAACTATTTTTTACTTGAAAAAATGTGCCCTTTTTTATATATTACTAGTGAAGTGAACGTGCGTTGCACGTTAGTTGATTATTGTCGACAAGATAGAAATGATTTTATTTTGGAATTGATGTTGGTCGATGGTTTTTTTTATATGATGAAGCATGCAGGAGTTATTTTTTCCTGAAGGATCCAACAACAATAAAGTTCTATTAAATACAACCTAGCACCTTTAGCACTAATTTTAAGCTGTAATACATTGCAAATTTTATCGCACAAAAAATTGACCAACAGATTTATACTAAGCATTTTCCAAAATCACAAGGAATTCCAGATATACATATAGCAAATGATGTCAAAACAGTGAGAAAGCTATTTTTTATAAAGAGAACTAACCTACTACAATGTTAACATTTAAAACTTGCTCTAAGTAAAATGTTCGTTCTTTCCTCAAATCCTTCCGGCAGCTAGTTTTCTTTTTCATCTTCTTCTTGGTTCTTGCCTTTTGTAACAACCCAAATGAATTTATGGCCGGAGATTTCAAGACCCTTGGCAATTTCATGTTATTGTTTTTCAGTAAAGGTTGCCATACTTCCAAAACAGACATAAACTACAGAATTTGGTTCATTGGAGTTGAGCCATTCCAAGCACTCATGTTCATCAATGGCGGATTCTTTTCCTCTCTGTGCTTTATATTTTTCTCCTTCCTTATTGCACAGCAAAAGTGGGCCTATATGCTATGCTTTTCTTCTGAAAACAGAAACATCTTGGTCGGCATAATCAGGTTCCAGCTCGTAGAAGCTGTTAACAAGAACTCCATAGCTTCTGGTCTCTGATTTTTGAATTTTGATCAACTGCTTTGTGAAATCATTTTCTATTTCTTCTTGATCAAAATGAAACACCTGAAAGGAGAAAAATCAACATCATTTAAATATATCCTCTTAACTAAGTTACCCTTTTAAGATCAAGACTCATTATACACGGTATTATCAAAAGCCCAAAAGGCTCAAACAAGCAACAAGAAATGAAGGCTACAAGTATTGCAGATTCTACATTTATATGGAATATAAGGCTTCTTTTGTTGGAGTCCAAAAATAAGTTAAAAAAGACTCGTTCAAAAGGTCAAAAAAGAGGATGATAAAAGAAAGGGAAAAAAGCCACTCCTTTGAACAGTTATTCGAAGTTAGGAATCAAAGCAATTATTATCCTACACTTGTAACACCATTTGGCTAACCGCGGATTCACATCGTCATAAAGACCATATTTATTGCACCGCAAACAATCTAAGCTATGAATAAGAAAAAAATATCTATTTTACATGTTTATAAAAATTCAAATAAAACGCACCCATTAAAAGAAAGCTGGGAAACAATCACGATATACAAAGAAAAATCCTTACATTGCCCTTTTAAGATCAAGACTCA